GTTTGTCTTCACCAAACCACCCCTTGGAATGGTGCTTCCTCATCAGTCAGTTCAGCACCTTTTTCAAAACGGTGGTGCACAAAGCAACACCTCCTTGAAAAAGGAAAAGCAGAACAAAGCCATCGAGGGCAAAGCAACAGCTCCAGCTGAACACAGAGATGCACAGAAGACTGACAGAGATCAAAGAGCAAACTCCTCTACCCCTAATGCACCACAGTAAAAGAGGTTGCTTTGATTAAGTGTAGACTCAGTTCGATGGTTAATCTGCAGTGAGAGGAACCAGGAGCAATCACACTGTCACCATTCCACTGTTTGTCTTCACCAAACCACCCCTTGGAATGGTGCTTCCTCATCAGTCAGTTCAGCACCTTTTTCAAAACGGTGGTGCACAAAGCAACACCTCCTTGAAAAAGGAAAAGCAGAACAAAGCCATCGAGGGCAAAGCAACAGCTCCAGCTGAACACAGAGATGCACAGAAGACTGACAGAGATCACTAAAGGAAAAAAAAAAAAAAAAAAAAAAAAAAAAAAAAAAAAAAAAAAAAAAGGTTATTTTCTAATTATGCTTTCATTTTAAATGAAGAAGTGGTGGGGTGAGAAGCTGCAGGAGAACTGCCTCAGTCAGCAGAATGAAAGACAGCCTCTGTGACTAGCTTTCAGATAAGACATCAAAAAGCTGATCGCTCTCCAAGACCTCAAGAAACCACACTCACAAAAATATGCACAGGAGATTTGTTTCAGAAAGTCTGCATGGGAAAAGCATTTGGCAGACAAGAAAGCATGAGAAGCTCTTCCAAGAAAAGTGTCTCCATATACTTTAAAGTCACAAATCAAACCAGTTGGGCCTCAAAGCTTCAAATTAACTTTCCTCTTTTGTCCTCCTCATTGCAGGCTGGTGACTTGGATTGCTACTGAGTGGTTTGATGGAGCACACCATGGAATTTATAGACTGCAAACTACTGCTGGACACAGTTGAAAATCACTGTGAAGCCTCAGTGACTGGCCTTCTTAAAATACTTAACTTGAACTGCCAGAGCCTGAAGTGATTAAGATGCCTGAAGCTTCCAGAGTCCCAGGGGAAGTTTATACAATGGCATTTATAATGGCAACTGACCATCTTGGGAACTTGGGAACACCACATACCACTTGCAAAGGCTGTGGCAGTGGAGAGCAAGATGCTAAATAAGCTCGAGTAGCATACAAAGCTCTTCTGAGAATATTGAAAATCTGGTATCCTCATGCATCGTCAAGATCATATTTGTTCTATGTGTCATATAGTCTTGTTCAACATGAAATCCACAATGACAGCAAAACACATCCTCCTTATGGGAGAAGTGATAGCTACAGGAGACTTTGCAAAGCTCAAGATGCTTGCTGAGGAAGGACTAATTGGTAATATACTAGACTACAAGAATGCTGGGGGATGAGAAAGAAGACTTCCAACCGGAGTCCAGAATTTCTCTGTATTGTGTTAAAACATTATTTGAGATAGTGGCACTCAAAAGCCAGGGCATTTTAAAATGCATCTACAAGTCTCCTGCACTGTATGCCAACCCATGGCAAAAAGTAACACTGTACATAAAGAGCTTCCATTTTGCTCTCTTCTACATCCCTCCTTAAATCTGTCTCTTTCACAGTATCTATAAAACAGCCCTGTGCAGCACGGGTTCGGAAACCATAAGCTATAACATTCACATTTGCTGCTTCTCCTTGTGTATTTCCACTGGTGTTCCAGCCCAGCTAATCCATTCCTGGTCCCATGTCCTCTGAGGGGTGCCAATTTTCTGTGATTTTTGCTCAGAGCTCTGATTTTTGGGGCATCCCTATATGTCATCATAAAAAGAAAACAAAAAAACAACAAATAACCTAACTCAAACACTAAAGCACAAAGCATGTGAAAGTCTGGAAACTCTTGAGCTAAGATTCCACAAACAGCTCTTTCTCTTAGTGCCCTGTCCCCAGCATAGCCTTATCCCTGTAGCCCAGCCATAGTTCCTCCTACACTCTATTAGTACTTGTCTAATATAAACCATGTGCCCTCACAACAGCAGCTTGTTAGTCACTTTAATGAGAATTACTGACTACATCAAAAGCCATTTGCTTAGAAATCCTCTCAGGAGGAGTCACTTCACTACTTTGTTTTGTCTGCCATCCTCAAGTCAAACCCTTCTGCCAGATTTCCAGTATGTCAGGTAAGGGATAATATCTTCACATCACACACTCCATATAGGATCCTCAGGGTCTAGCACCCCACTATGTTCTCCAAGCAGACCACAAGCAATTCTTGCTTTTCTTATTCATCTGCTGTTTTGATCTGGGCTTGGTACTCATCCAGATACCATGACCACTAGAACCATGTTTCCAGTGCCAGTTCTAGCTGAAGGCCAAGGGTGCTTCAGCTTGGTTGGTTTTTTTTAATAGCTTCTAAAAACCTACTGTTCCACAAAGTTCACAATGAGCTGAATGAAAGGCACTTCCAATATTTGGGTAACTGTCTGTGACACAGAAGACACAGGCTGAAGTATGACAGGGCTTCTTTGCAGAATCCACATTCACATTTCCAGAACTCCAAATACTTTGCTGCACACCACATTTTACAGTTCCTCTATTTTAAATGTGTTATTTAAAATTATTTTTACATCTACAATGAACTAAAGATTGCTTTACAAGGAGAAGTGTTTCAATTTGCCCCATGGTTTATTGTCTTGAAGAGCAGTTACATGTGCATGGTTTTTTATAAATAGCTACTACTGCTCCAGTGTCTCCATTCATGGAAAGATCCAGACCTGCATTATTGAGCAGCTGGGGCACCTCTGAAAACTCACTGCCAGCTCATGAGACAGCAGCAGACCCTGAGATCTGGAACAAATTCAGATAAGCCATATCATAATGTTCTTGGCTGAGGAGAGCTATTACCTGCTTCAGTCAAAGAAGAACCACCATCTATTCCAGTTTATACCAATCCACCAGTGACAAATGCTCCCTGACTGATGAAGACAAATAAAAAAAAAAAGAACAAACAAACTACACACACAAAAAGTCTCCCTTTCATAATGTAATGGGATCTGTAGATAGACATTGTCAGTAACTCACAATATATTGAAGTCTTCCTCTGTGGAGGAGCCAGTTGTTCCAGACAACTCACTGGACTAAGCAGACAGTAGCTATAGTCTTACACAGGCAAGATGCAGCAGCAAGTAAGAATTGTGTTTAGAAACACAGTTGATGGAACAGCACAAAGAAGTTTAACTCCTGTTAGGCTTGGAAAATACCTTGGCCCTGCACAGCTCATCAGAGGCAGAAGTACTGCAGCAACAGAACAGTGAGACCTGGTGGCTAGAGGGCACTAATGTGGCAGTCCTTCCTTGTTCTAACTATTTCAAGAAAGAATGTTTCTCATATTTTAGGCTTTTTGTGCTTCCAAAAGCTTAGGACAGAAGGGGTCAGTCAGATGCTACTTGCCCTTTGCTCGAACAGCTTTGCCAGTCTATGGTAGATCTAATCTACACAGCAGGTAAGGGCATGCTAGTGCAATCTAGCTAAACACATGGGTGATGGCACCATCCAAAACAAAAAAGTAGACAGAAAATTCTTCAGAAACCTGGAGACAGAGACCCTTCTCTAGCTGGTACCACAGACTAAAAGGCATGCCATTCTCTCCTCCTGCTGCCACTTGTGCTTTTGCTAGCTCAGTTTGTCCAACACGTTGGCACATCCTCCTTTTAACTACCTCGCTCTCCCTAGAGTGCAACCACTAGCCTGCACTAGGTCTGTGGTCCCAGCAGATCTTGCTGTCCAACCTCATCATGAAGCAATTCCACATTGTTTTACTCCAGGTCCCCACCAAGAATAAACATCTGTATTTCTTTGTTAGGTTTAAGATGTGAATAAACATCTGCAGATGAGATTCCTACCAAACTCATTTGTCAAAGCTACATTTGAACATCAGTGCCTGGCAAAGCACTGGCACACAAGGCTTCTTCAGTGCAGTACTGCAACTCGTGAGGAAAGCCCTTGCACAGCCCCCAGAGGAAGCTGCCACTAGCCCTGCATGACTTGCTGGTACATGATAAATGATGAGAAAGATAAACAAAGTCAGCTCGAGCATGCAGCCCTCTTGTCCCTCAGCCCCTGAGTCAGGCCACCTCAACATTTGATTTTGAATCAGTGCTTTCTGATTCACTTGCATCTTGCAAACACCAAATCCAACTCCGTAGGCCAACAAACAGCTCACACTGCAGTAAAGCACCCATTCCTCCAAAGCAGCCTCACACTCTTCCTTCAGAGCAACCAAGAGTGGTCAAGAACCCCAGGTTACTTTCTGCTTTGCTGCTGCTAAGAAGTGAATATAGCCAAGGAACAGAGAAAGGCAGGGAACTTGGCTCCCCTCCTTGGCCAGCAGGACAGTATAGATGTGCACAAAACTTTTTCTACTGGATAGGTGCTGCTCCACCCCCAGCTGCACCAAAAGAAGTCTAAGATGGCCAGTTATGCCATCTTCTGTTTTCTAAAGCATACATTTCTCCTATCAGAAAAATGCAGGGAGAAGGGTACTATACTAGTAGAAGGGACAATGCCATGCGTGTCCTGTTCTGGTTTAAATTCCTGGTCCTGGTTTCCTTGTTCCCCCATGATGACAGGAGATGGAAGTGCACTCAGGCCCTGGATCCAGAGGGATGAGGGTAAGGAGTGAAGGAGGAAGAAGACAAGAGAAAGAGGACACATTATGCTCCTGAGCAACTCTTGCTATTCAGTCAACCAACCATTGGATCATGTCTCAGTAAGCAGAGGACAGGAAGGAGGACAGCAAGTCATCCCTCACACATTCCCTCACCTCTCCCCACTTCCCTCAAATCCTCACCCTTATTCTGAAAGATTTCAGTGTGATATGATTGTAAACAGTTCAGGATTCCTCCAGTGCTAAGCCCACTACAAGCTGGGCCCACCCCCTCCCCCATTATGTACAATACATTCACCAACAACAGAAATTTATTTAAAAAGGCAACAGGTTAAATTCTGTAAACTGGATCCAGCTCCAAAACACACACGTTAATACTACAAGTAAAATTCCATCATCATCCTCTTCCACCCTGAAAAATATACCTGAGTTTAGCAGTCAATGAAAATTTCCGCTCCCACCCCCACCCCCCCCACACCCAAAAAAATCCCTCAAACCCTGAATGAGATGCAGTCTCCGGTCACAGAAAGCCACTCGTTTGCAATGGTCGCCCTGTGGTGACGAGCCAGCTGCTGGGCTGGCTGGGGCCCAGCACTGCCCCAGGTTTCCCACACAAAAGCCCTCGCCGCACCATGTTGCACGGACCCAGGAAGCTACAGGCTGCTCAGAGGAGGGGAGGGTGGGAGGAAGGCCTGCCCCTCCTCCCTCTTGTCCAAATCATGTGTGGCTTTCATCTTCGCGAGGTCCTTCCTTCCTCGGACTAGCTCTGGAAGAGGAAGAACAAGAGTTGGAGGCTTTAACTGGCAGTTTTAGAAAGCGATAACCTCACGATTGCATGCAAGCAGTTCAAAGCTAGCAGGATTGGCCTGCTGGGTTATCTTTTTACAGGCAGCTAAGACTACAGAGACATCCCCAACTGCTCAGCAGAGCAGTAGTTAACTTCCCAGCTTCTTCCAGTGCTTCCCACTCTCATCAAACACTTCACTCCTTTAACCAGTGGGAAGAGACTCGCATTTCAACTCTGCTCTCTCTAGAAGCCCTTACTTGATCCAGAGGCAACGCTGAGGGTTTTTGTGATGTCACATCTTCCCGGGACATGGTTGCTGCAGGCATCTTCGCAAAGGGGACTTGAGCCTGATGCATTTGCATTCTGGAGCCAGGTTGAATGGAGAGAATTTTAGCATGTGAACATAAAGAGCAAATCCCGTCTACTTGGTTGAATGCATACATACAACATTCACATACAAGCATGCATCTCAGGTATTCTTCTTTCTGGCTTCCCCCCAAAACACAACTTTTAATCCATGCCACTCCCCCAATGGCTTAGCAGTAAACCAAGCTCCCTGAATACTAGAAGAAGGACTGTCACACCGGGACTATGACAAAACAGTAACAGTTGAAGCACCCTCATAAAATCTGAACAGGGAATTTTTGGAGCAGCAGAATTTTCCATTTGGAAATAAAATGAGATATCCACAGACTTGGTGAGAAGCAATTTTCTGTGAGGGAAATTGGAGACAGAGAGGAAAGGCAAAGCAAGAGGAGGGGGGGAAAAGAGGGTAACATTAAAGTAAAGGAGTTCATAACAAGAGGCTAACTTCCACTTTAGTTAGCTACGCTGCCCCACTATGAGAAAGATGTAAAACTGTTGCAGAGAGAATGGAAAGAACCCATTTGATTAGGATATGCACAACCCTGGATGACATATTAATAAAACACTGCCAGATAAAACAAAGCACAAGTGTGGGGATGGATGGGACAGGCTGACAGGTCTTCATGATAGTGATGGCTACGTGTTTTAAGGAGCTGCAACAAGACTCTTTCTCCAGCTTAAGAGACCTCTTACTCCAAGGGTCTAGGAGTCACCTGTTAACCTCTCATGAGCACTTGCCATCTCCTCTGACTTCAAGACATGTCCTTTCAAGGATATCCAACATTTATCATCACCCAGGCATCACCCCCCTCCCGCCTTTTCTCCTCGCAGAAAACACAATCTTACCCCGAGGGTCTATACAAGTCCTGGGGTGGCCCCCCCATGCCACCTCCACTGCCTCTCTGCTCCATCAGCAAAGCCTGAAAGTGACCCATGTTTTCCTCCCGGCAGCGGTACAGGGGACCCTCCTGAGAGAGGCCGTTGGCCTGGGCAGAGGCAGGATGATGAGACAGGTGAGCATTCATAGGAGATCCATACGTCCTGGGCTGGAAATGACTGGCGGGATGCCGGGATACATAAGGAGAGCCAGTCTGTAGCATCACCCCATGGGGAGGGAAAGTTGATGGGCCGAATCCCATCCCCGAACCCAGGTGTGGTGGCGGGGCTCCATAGAGGAACTCCCCGGCAGCCACCGAGCTTTGCCTCTTTGTGGCTGCATTGTGGTTGTCCAAATCAAGGAACTCTTTGGGACTCTCTGGTCTTTCCTGGGACTCCTCAGACTTCTCATCTTCAGGCCCCAGGTCCTGCCCATCGCTCGGAGAAACCTCTTTGGCACTCGCTACGTCCATGCGGCTGGGAGAGGCCAGGGCGGCGTTCAGTGCCTCGCAGCCCTGCAAGCTGCTGGCGGACCCCCGGTCGGGGAAAGGGGGTCTGGCCAGGGGTGGGTGGGCAGTGGGATGCCCACCGGGGCTGGCCTGGGAGTGGAGAGGCCTCTGCCAGTCCGAGTAGCCCTGTGGACAGGTGTAGTAGGGTGGTCGCTGGTAGTGGTGGTAGGAAGGCTGAGGCTGCGGCTGGTAGGGGTAGGGCATGCCCTGGGGGGGTCGGTACCGCGGGAAGACACCGGGGTGGGCGCTGCTTGGCTGGAAGCCCCGTGGGGGAAAATGCTGGGGGTGGGAAGCAGGAGGAGGTGGCTTGCCCCCCATCATGGGGCTGAACCCCTGCAGGCCCGGGTTGATGTGGTACCGCCCGGCTGAATTCGGATATTCCAGACCAGGCATGTAGAGAGGGTGGAACTGGTTGGGAGCAGCACCCACAGAGCTGGCATCCACCCCCGAGAGGCTGGTGCCCTGCCCCATGCAAGGCACAGCTGCTTCGGGCAGAGCCTTCCC